TAGAAGACATTCTACTGCTAGGTTAAAAAAAAAAACTATAACCTAAAATACAACTCTTAAATTGTCTGTGTTCACCCAAGAGAGACATTGCACAGATAAGTGAAATTCACAAATACAGTAATACTTTTTGAACCATTTATTTTCATCTTTTCCTCTCTTTTAAGACATCAATAAGAAATTGATTTTTTTTTTATTTTCTTTTTCTTTTCTTTCTTTTTTTTTTTTGAGACAGTCTCACTCTGTCACCCAGGCTAGGTTGCTCACTGCAACCTCAAATTCCTGGCTGAAGTGATCTTCCAGTTCAGCCTCCCGATTAGCTAGGACAACATGTATGCACCACCACACCTGGCTTAATTTTTTGCCCAAAAGGGTCTCACTATGTTGCCCAGGTTGGTTTCAAACTCCTGACTGCAAGTGATCCTCCTGCCTCAGCCTCCCAAAGTGGTGGGATTACAGGCATGAGCCACTAAGTCTGGCCAGAATTTCATTTTTGAAAGCACATAGTGCTTTGATTATCAAAGACAATGTCAGAAATGTAGAATCATTGGGTTATTTTAAAGTTCAGACCCTAATTTTACATGAAACAGGCTCAGTCTTTCACCTAATTTGCTTGTAAACAGGAGCAAGCATCAGCCAAATCATGAGCAGAGTAAGGATTGCACTGTGGAGGTCATAGAAATGTCTACTTCTGTGTGAAACTATCACAAGTGGGGCTTAAACCAGCACCCATCTTGAAATGGAGTAAATAACTTGGATTTCTTAACTATACACTTCTTTTGGTTAAGGTGATAACAAGTCCCAGATAATTGGCTTTATGTGCCAAGAAAACAAGGAGTATGACTGACCACATTGGCTATTTACAGCCTTGTCCTCAAGGCATTTTTGTCCCCAAGTCCACCTTCATAATAGCTTCCCTCTCTCACCATATGAGCATTGGGAAACCACCACTCCTGATCTTTGCATGCTCTTGGTTTTTTCACATCTCTGAAAACTTCCCATGACTTGTAGTGGAGGGTTTCCTAAGGATTTCGCTCTTTCTTTGAACCTGCTCAACCACTAAACCAAATATTTTCTAGAATACAAAATAAAGAATCTGACTTGTTCCCAGCCAATCCCAGCAGCTTAGGAAAATTTCTCACTTTCTAAAGTTTTCATCTCTGGACTCTCATTTCCAGCACACAGATTCCAAATGGTCATGGGTCAAAAAGTGGTGGGGGTGTGAGGGAGCTAGGCAAGGATGAGTCTGAATACAGGCGTCCTCGAACTACAGCCCGCAGGCCACATGCAGGCTGCCAAGGACATTTATCTGGCCCGCCGGGTGTTTTTGCCGCTGCTACGTGTCCTGCTTAGCAGCCGACTCGTCCTGGGGCCCACAGTCTGGCCCTCCAAAGGTCTGAGGGACAGTGAACTGGCGCCCTGTTTAAAAAGTTTGAGGACCCCTAGTTAGAATGTAAGCCCAGAAATTTGCCCTGAAATAGCGAATAGTTAACTAACCATGAAGCCTGAGTGTCATCTTCTGAAACTGTTATTTTTTACTACTACACCTTGGGTCAGGGGGAAGGAGTGTTGTTTTGGAGAAAAAAAGAGGAAGGAGAAAGTGGACAAGGAGAAAAATTCTCTCCTCCACGGAAATATCAACAGAAGACTCTTGTATCTCTGCTTATTTTTTAGCTGCAATGTTTTTAATAGACCAAAGACAAGCTTTATGAATTAATATGTATGTGAATAATGTTTATAAAAGGGGTGTAATGTGTTAGTCATTATAGAATATTGTATAAATAAGCTTTAGATATAGAAAGTATATGAACATAAAACAATATTGCATAGGGCAGTAGACAATTAAGGACTTCCAAACTTTTCATATATTTGTTCCCAAAAAAAGAGAGACTTCCAGGGCTGGCAGCTTATTTCCCTAGTACATGCCACTGTAAAACCAAGAGATTCGGGGAGTTGTTTGTTTTCTGGTTCTGTAATTTATCATGATCTGTACGGATTGCTGTACGATGTCTGTTGCACATGTGTGTTGGTGTCGTTTACCCACACAGAGTCATCAAAGATGCACTCCACACATAGTACCCTGAAATACCAAAAAATGTTTTCCAGCAGGAAGAAAACCATACAGAATATGCCTTCACTATGGGTAACTCTCAGATTTGTACCACGCAGAACGTTTTATAAAACTAAGCTAATGGGATGTTTAACATCAGAGGTATTGTCTCTCACTTAATTGTTTAGTATTGGATAATGTTTTTCCTGGGGAGCACATTTTGTCAAGTCCTTTTTTTTTGGAGTTGACATGTTCTTCTAGAGGAAACCAGGAGTCGTGGCCCTAAGCCACCTCCCTTCACGACCACTCTCTACCATCTAAGAGCTATCCACATGCAAATTCCGTTTTATGTTCTGTGATTCTGTGGTAGAGTCAATGCTTTCAGAGCCTGGAGTTTTACTTGCTTGGGTTAGTAGCTCTCATGAAGTGCTAAATTGGCTCTTTACCTCCCAGATGGATCAGAAGCAGGAGAGGGGAAAGGGGGGCTCCCGTGCTGGAGAAGTCTACTGGCACCTTTCACATCAGCCTCGCGAAGAACTGTGCCTGAAACCCAGGCATGAAATACCATCTGCTCTTCATGCAGAGAGGGGTCAACCAAATGAAAGTACAGAGATGGCCCAAGTCTCCTTTGCCAAAAACGTGTATTGTCCCCAGCTGTAAGCCTGTGATGCTTGATATGTGTTTTAGCATGAAACAATAAAAATAGGTTTATTTTCACTTAATAGAGTTGTTCCAGGTCTGAATTCTTTTATCGGTAGATGATCTGGAGCGGGCAATGTTTTGTCATAGATTAAACATCAACATTGAGCATTTAATTTTTCCCAAAGGGTTAGCTCCTAGCAGGTGCTCTGGGGATTTGAGGAGGGAAGGCTAGGAGGATAGGAATTACTTTGTCAGATGGGAATTGCTTTAGTTTTGGTGGGACAGGTGGAGGCGAGGGCAAGTAGCACTTCCCATCCAGGCCGAGCAGGCTGTTCACCTCTGTCGAGTAATCTTTGGTTGTACAAACCTCGTGGGCCCAAGGCGGCCTTTTGGCTGGGAGCTGTCTCTGTCTGTGCAGCACAGAGGACAGGAGCACAGCCTCGAGAGCCTGTGTTACAGCAGTGTGGCCTTGGGCAAATTACTTAACCTCTCTGTGGTTGGAAAAAGGAGACATAACACCACCTTCTCAAGTGATATTAAGGATAAATGTCTTAAAATATTTGGAGTGCTTTGAACAGTGCCTGCCACGTACAAGCACTCAGTAAACTTGTTTTTACCACCTTCACAATGTTTGCCCTATCCACCTACCACCTATGTTTTTATAATATTTACTTAATATTCTTATTTTAATTGACTCAATTTTCATTGAAAGTGCAATTTTTTTTTTTTTGAGACTCATTCTTTTATCCAAGCTAGAGGGCTGGGGTATCACAGCTAATAGCAACCTCTAACTCTTGGGCTCACACGATCCTCTTACCTCAGCTTCCTGAGTAGCTGGGACTACAGATGTATATCCCAATGCCCAGCTAATTTTTCTATTTTTAGTAGAGACAGAGTCTCACTCTTCTCAGACTGGTTTTGAACTTCTGAACTCAGGCAATTCACTCACCCCAGCCTCCCAGAATGCTAGGATTATGGGTGTGAGCCACTGTGCTCAGCCTAAAATGTAATTTTTTTAAAAACTTTATACCCCAATTATAAGTGGGAAACTGGCATAATTTGCTATAAATATAAGGTAGTCATTACATAGTACTTGTTCATAGTCCTTACTACTTGCCAGGCACTGAATTTTATAATCCTCACAGCCCTATGAGATCAGTACTGTCACTGTCCCCTTTCATGAATAAGGAAACTGACACAGAAGTTAGCAAATTAATTAGTAAGTGAAGACATTTCAGGCTCCTGAACCCAGGCTCTTCAGCAGTGTTCTGTGCTGCTGCCCTAACAAACACTAAAGTATTTAATTCACATGGTCAGTGATTACTCAATTAGCTTCCCAGGGCTGCTGTCATAAATTATCACAAACTAAGTAGCTTCAAATAACAGAAACTGTGCTCATGGCAACAGCATGTATACTAACACAGCAGAAAGGGATTCTGTCTCAGTTCTGGAGGCTGGGAGTCCAAAAACAAGATGTTGGCAGGGCCATGCTCCCTCCAAAAACTCAGGGAGAAGGGGAGGATCTTCCCTTGCCTCTTCCAGCCCTCAGTACCCCAGACACCCCTTGGTCGGGGAGCATCCCTGCAGTCTCTACCTCCACCTGCGCGTGGCTGTCTTCCCTCTGTGTATTTCCATCTTTGCATCGCTCCTCTTCTTATGAGGACACCAGGCATGTTGCATGAGGGCCTACTCCAGTGACCTCATCTTAACTTCATTACTACATCAAGCAAAGACCCTATTTCCAAATAAGGTTACATTCACAGGTACCAGGGGATAAGACTCCATCTTTTGGTAGAGGAGGTGGGAGGTGAGGGACACAGTTCAGCCCAGAACAGTTCCCTACCTAAGGCTCTGAGCCTGGAGCCCAAAGATTGGCAAGTATTAGAAAGGTATTCAAGATGCCACCAACCTGAGGCCTTGTCCTTGAGCAATCAGGACTGAAGAATCAAGACAAAGGAAGGTCAATGCATGTTTCTGTTGGGGAAAGTGGCTTGACATAAGAAAACTACATGACAACTCTTCCAGCCTTTCAGACATCCCTCATGATGACAGTAGAAAGACAGGCAGTGCGGCAGTGCGGCAGTGCAGCAATGCCGCCTCCCAAAACACCAGGCCAGAGGCAGGCGGTGTACACAGAACTCCAGAGCTGCTGTGTGTGGCTGGAGTGAAATAGCAAATTCAGACATATAATAAAGTCTCTGTAGGGGAAGGTATAAAGAGAGAACCACAGTAGAGACAGTAGGAGAGAAATAATTTATTTTTATAATGTTTCAGTGAAAACTTAACAAGAAACACAATCTATTAAGAGGAGTTTGAGAAGAGGGTGGGGGAGCCAAGAGGGGACATCGCCCTGCTCTGTCAGATAAGGGTGTTCTGAGTCGAAGGGACTGCACAGATTTCATAGAGTTGGGAGGTCCTCATCTTGAGCTCCCGGGCCACCTGACAGATGGAAAAAGGCCAACAGCAGTGCACCACCAGCCAGTCCTCGCACAAAGTTCCCTAGGGTAGGACCAAGATCTCTGTTGTATCACAATCACACAGGTTCATCCCCACTCCCCAAGGCCCATACTATGTTACCTGCTGGCCCATCACTCCCAGCTACCAAGATCTACCAGCCTTCTTAAGTCAACACCCAGGGAGCCCAGGTTGCCCAAGTGCCAAGTAGTTCAATTTTTAATCAAGACCTGCAATTTAGAGCCCAGTCCTTAGGACTTTTGATACAGGCTTCATACTTGAAACCACTGACTTCTCAATGGACATTTTGTTTTTCCTCTTAGGACCTAATATTTATAATTATCTTATTTATTTGTTTGGAGTAGATAATAAGTGCACAGTAAGTAAGAAGAGAGAGGAAGTAAAAAGTAAACCCCTTTCTATACCTGTCTGAACCCATCCCGTCACCTGCCTGGGCGCAGCTGTTATTACTGGTTCCTCGTATACACTTCCAGATAAACTCTACGTCAACCCAAGCATATTCTTTTCATATAAATAATTTCACACTTCTTTGCCCTTCCTTTCATCTAAATATACACCATAGGGATGTGTATATATAAAGAGATGCCTTTTTTAGCTATTCACATCTTAATATATACAATTTATCTCTCCTAGCCTTTCATGTATCTCAGTTTCATCTGTGCTGGATATTTACTGGCTCTTTGAAAGGTTCCCAGGGAACCCCCAAAGTATAATTTGCACATCACATGTGCCTACAGTCCCCAAACCACACAGCAGGAGATGAGTGACAGGTGGGCTGGCAAAGCTTCCTCTGTATTTACAGCCGCTCCCCGTCACTTACGTCACTGCCTGAGTTCCCCCTCTTGTCCGATGAGGAGAGTCCTTAGATTGTCACAGGAACACGAACCCTATTGTATACCACATCTGGGGATGTAAGCTGCATGCTCCTTATGAGAATCTAATGCCTGAGGGTCTGAGCTGCGGAGGTGATGCGAGTGCTGGGGAGGGGCTGCAAATGCAGATTATCATCAGCGGAGGGGGTTGACTGCACAGAGACCATAATAAATCAATTGCTTGCAGAATCATATCAAAGTCATTCCTTCCCTCAACCCCTATCCATGGAAAAATTGTCTTCTATGAAACTAGTCCCTGGTTTCAAAAAGGTTGGGGACAACTGACATACACTAAATTTTAAGTCAGACCTCCTAACTATATTCTGTCATCTTCTCTTGACATAGTAAGAGACAGAGAGAGGACTGGCACCTGTGGCTTAAGTGGCTAAGGCGCTAGCCACATACACCTGAGCTGGTGGGTTCAAATCTAGCCTGGGCCTGCCAAACAATGACTACTGCAACCAAAAAAAGAAAAAAAATAGCCAGGCATTGTGGCAGGTGCCTGTAGTCCCAGCTACTTGGGAGGCAGAAGCAGGTGAATCACTTGAGCCCAGAAGGTGGAGGTTGCTGTGAGCTGTGAAGCCATGGCATTCTAACTGCAACCAAAAAATGGCCGGGCGTTGTGGCGGGCGCCTGTGGTCCCAGCTACTTGGGAGGCTGAGGCAAGAGACTCACTTGAGCCCAGAAGGTGGAGGTTGCTGTGAGCTGTGAAGCCATGGCATTCTAACTGCAACAAAAAAGTAACCACGTGTTGTGGTGGGAGCCTGTAGTCCCAGCTATTTGGGAGGCTGAGGCAAGAGAATTGCTTTAGCTCAAGAGTTTAAGGTTGCTGTGAGCTATGACACCACAGCACTCTACTGAGGGTGACA